TACTTACTGTGTATGTTAGACTAATTCGTTCCTACCACACGATCAAGTGGCTAAACAGAGCTCCACCAATTCGCATTGTGTGTCAGGCTATTAGCCAGGAATTTGCAACTGCCAGTCCAAAACAATTCAACTTCATGAAAATGTAGATGGGTTTTCAATATATTTTGGTAAAATTATCAAAGAACAATAGAAAAAAAACAAAAAATGGGGAAAAGTTGCCAGTCCAAAATCAAAGTTGTCAGTCCGTTTGGTGGGTGGACTGGTAGCTGGCTAACACCCTGTTGTGTGTGATTGTAGTTGTAGAAAGTCAGCTAAATCACCCAGTCTAAACGACTGCCTAGATAAAGGCCCTCCCATGTTGAATGACTTGACATCAATATTGATTAAATTTCGTTCAAACCCTTTGCTATCACTAGCGACATAGAAAAAGCCTTCCTTACAGGTGAAACTAGAACCTGAGGAGAGGAAATTCACCAAGTTGTTGTGGCTCTCAGATTAAAGCGATACAGAGAGTGAATTCGATACACATCAGTTTAAATCTGTTCTTTTGGGGGCGACACCCTCCCCCTTATTCTTAATGCTGTTGTAAGAGCTCATTTGGATACTTACAACACTTCGGTCATTTCCAGGGATTTACAAAACAATATTTATGTTGACGATGTCATTGCTGGTGTAAACAACACCAATGAGTCTATTGATTACTATACACATGCAAATGAGATGACGTCAGGTGGTTTCAATTTGAGAAGTTGGTCAACCAATGACAACACACTAAGAGAGATTGCCACCAACGACAACAAACATTCTGAAGATGTAGAAGTGGGAATGCTTTGAATGAGATGGAATACTGAGACTGATGTACTTTCATATAAACACGTAGATATGCCACCTGTGAATCAATTACTTACAAAGAGATATGTTGTAAGTGCCACAGCCAGCATTCATGACCCCATTGGTTTGCCGTCACCAGTTCACATTCAGGCAAAATTGTTTATTCAATCTATTTGGCGATCCAAAATTGAATGGGATATATCTCTTGATGATACTTGCCTTACTAAGTGGAAAGGTATTGCGAGTGAGCTGCATCACCTGACTGACATTACTATAAATAGAAGTTATTTTGGTGGGAACTCCATGCATGCATGCAAACAAGCAAACCTATCAACTACACTCATTTCAGTCATTTGCCGATGACAGGAAATCTGCATATGGAGCTGTGATATATCAGATGTATGGAAACACTGGTATAGTTGCTTCTAAGAACCGTGTATCACCCACCACAGCGATCACCTTGCCTCGACTTGAACTTTTAGCATGCTTGATTGGTACAAGACTATGCAAATTTGTTTACAACCATTTGAAGCCAAAACTGAACATTGATTCGTGTACATTATGGAGTGATGGCTGTCATGGATCACAAGTGACAAACCACAACCTGTTTTCATTCGAAACAGAACCAAGGAGATAAATTAGTTTAACCAGAGTTACAGATACGTGCCGACAAAGCAGAATCCGGCTGACCTACTGACTAGAGGAATATCAACGAAAGAGCTGAAGTGCAGCAAAAAGTGGTGGAATGGTCCAGAGTTCCTGGCAAATACTGCATATTGGCCACAAATCACATACAACATGCATTCTAATGTGACAAATACTGAAAACACACTTCTACCTATTTCTGACTCTGATGGAGCAGTTAACAACATACCTGACTTTGATACAAATACCACTACATCCATTATTTATATCAGACACTGTATGACCATAGCATTCCCTACCCACACACTGACGACGCCCCGACTATGACAACTTGTATGCATATGGGTCCGGGAAAAATTGATGCACGTGGCAAGATAAAGGATTTTGCCAAAAGTCTGTTGTAATAACAACCTGAGCCAGACTGTACTTTGTATACGTGTTATGAACATTACAATTTTGATAACCCTTATATGGGACAATAATTTCTAATCATAGATAATGTATCAATTTGACTCATTACATCGTGGGCGCCCAAGTATGTCTGAGTATTTTCTGAATCATTTATCTGTGGAGCATTGTAATTGAAACATGCAATACTTGTTAATCGCTTTATTCATTACGTTTTATACAAGTAATAATACTGTATTCTGACTTGTACATTGTTGCAAAATACGGATTCTGAAGTGAGACGACGACGACATGAATGCGAACGTGGTAGAAACCACCGCAGTGTGCTCTTTTGTTTCAATTTTTATATTTATCCAATTAGATGCTTTCCCACTAATTTTCTTACACGGTCAAAAGTTTATTGATGTATATCAAGGGCATACTGCCAGTTCTGTGTCATTCTTACAATTTGTGTTATATCGAGTTGCAAGTCTCCGGATTGCCAGCGGGTTTTCAGTTAGTGAATAAATTCAGTTAATAAAGTTTTCATGAAGTAGTTCTTCTGTGGTGAATGGTGCTGGTTGCGTAGCAGATAATTTTGCATACTATATTTCATTATATTGCCATAACCGCAACATATCGTCCGCCACAGAAGTCGAATTTTATTCGCGGTTGGTTTAATCGCAGTCCCTCTATCTAGAGGGACTGTGGTTTAATGTTACCCCAACGAATCATTTGGATGTGAACATTTATTTTCTCCATGATTTGTAGGCAACTGTTTCTCAACTTGTCCTTTTATATTTAGTTTCAATCAGTGGTCAAGATGGCTACCCCCATATAGTAAATATCGGTGTGGCAATCTCATTTATCATATTATTGCTTTACACCAGCTGACTGTGGTCATTCTCAGGCTAACCAGGGTAACTACTTCCACATTATCACGCCTCGCCAAGAAAATTATTCAGGGGAATCCAGAAATGTTCTCTAGTGCAATATAGACTCACCCAGAGTGGACTTCTGAGGTTTCACTGCAACACCACAGGGTTCATCAAGATCATGATGGCTACTCATAACCATTAATTATGCAAATGATGTGGTGTATAGACTAAAAGCATGAATTCTGAATTAAGTAATTTTATTTTTCTAAAACAAATAAAAAATAAATAGCTATTTCACATAAAAGCAGTCTTAGTTTGTACTCTCAGAAAAATATATACACATTATATTAATACTAACCATGGCAGTGGATACATTTCAAACAAATTATTCATTCAGAAACATGCTAATGAGTAGTACGATTTACAAGCAGTCTACTAGTTCCTGAAATAGAATGCACTCTGATATAGGGACTTGTCTTTACCTAGAATGCACTATGATTGAGGAAATAGGGACGTTGTCTTTGCCTAGAACGCACTCTGGTTAAGGAAATGGGGACATTGTCTTTGCCTAGAATGCACTCTGGTTAAGGAAATAGGGACATTGTCTTTGCCTAGAATGCACTCTGGTTGAGGAAATAGGGACGTTTTCTTTGCCTAGAACGCACTCTGGTTGAGGAAATAGGGACGTTGTCTTTGCCTAGAGCACACTCTGGTTAAGGAAATGGGGACATTGTCTTTGCCTAGAATGCACTCTGGTTAAGGAAATAGGGACATTGTCTTTGCCTAGAATGCACTCTGATTGAGGAAATAGGGATGTTTTCTTTGCCTAGAACGCACTCTGGTTAAGGAAATAGGGACATTGTCTTTGCCTAGAACACACTCTGGTTGAGGAAATAGGGACATTGTCTTTGCCTAGAATGCACTCTGGTTAAGGAAATAGGGACATTGTCTTTGCCTAGAATGCACTCTGGTTGAGGAAATAGGGATGTTTTCTTTGCCTAGAACGCACTCTGGTTAAGGAAATAGGGATGTTTTCTTTGCCTAGAACACATTCTGGCTGAGGAAATAGGGACATTGTCTTTGCCTAGAACACACTCTGGTTGAGGAAATAGGGACATTGTCTTTACCTAGAATGCACTCTGATTGAGGAAATAGGGACATTGTCTTTACCTAGAATGCACTCTGATTGAGGAAATGGGGACATTGTCTTTACCTAGAATGCACTCTGGTTAAGGAAATGGGGACATTGTCTTTGCCTAGAATGCACTCTGATTGAGGAAATAGGGACATTGTCTTTACCTAGAATGCACTCTGATTGAGGAAATAGTGACGTTGTCTTTACCTAGAATGCACTCTGGTTAAGGAAATAGGGACATTGTCTTTGCCTAGAACACACTCTGGTTGAGGAAATAGGGACATTGTCTTTGCCTAGAATGCACTCTGATTGAGGAAATAGGGACGATTGTCTTTGCCTAGAACACACTTTGGTTGAGGAAATAGGGATGTTGTCTTTGCCTAGAATGCACTCTGATTGAGGAAATAGGGACGTTTGTCTTTACCTAGAACACACTTTGGTTGAGGAAATAGGGATATTGTCTTTACCTAGAATGCACTCTGATTGAGGAAATAGGGACGTTTGTCTTTGCCTAGAACACACTTTGGTTGAGGAAATAGGGATGTTGTCTTTGCCTAGAACACACTCTGGTTGAGGAAATAGGGACGTTGTCTTTGCCTAGAATGCACTCTGGTTAAGGAAATAGGGACATTGTCTTTGCCTAGAATGCACTCTGGTTGAGGAAATAGGGATGTTTTCTTTACCTAGAATGCACTCTGATTGAGGAAATAGTGACGTCTTTGCCTAGAATGCACTCTGGTTGAGGAAATAGGGACGTTGTCTTTACCTAGAATGCACTCTGATTGAGGAAATAGGGACGTTGTCTTTGCCTAGAACACACTCTGGTTGAGGAAATAGGGACGTTGTCTTTGCCTAGAACACACTCTGGTTGAGGAAATAGGGACGTTGTCTTTGCCTAGAACGCTGAATCACTTTGGGTGAAACTTGCTATTGTTAATTAATGGCAAGATTAGAATTCTGTTAGTTAGTTTCATTGTTGTCTTTCATTATCAGCCTTAATGAAAGGCATGTCTTCAGTTTTAATGTCCAGACAAGTTGGTAATTGACATAACTGGCTGATAGTTTAATAACAATATTGTGAGTTTTCTTTGTCATAACCACTGTAACAATTCAAATTACTCTGCTTCAACAATTTGGTTTCCACTCGCAATTTTTGGTAGAATTTCAACACTTCAGAATCAGCATGAACACAACTTTTTTCAAAGTCAATAACTCTGAGTCCTTCCAAATTTCTTGCTCTTGACAATGCTACATATGCCTGACCACATTCAAAGACTCTAGATAGTGATATCTCAACACAGTCAAGTGACAGACCCTGAAATCAGTAAAAAAAATCAAAGAATGTTATGTGCTGAGGGTATTTTGGGGTATCTGAAAGAGAATTAGAAATTAGTTAAAAATATAAATTAAAAGCCTTTAAAACAAGAGGCCTTGTGACTAAAATAGATATGATTTTTGCGATGTGCTGTGACATACTTTACACACAACACTTGCACTTCAGGAGTTGGGTAAGACGTAACACAGTTGCGTGCGTGTGTGCGTGCGTGCGTGCATGCATACATGTACGTTCTTCTATTACAGAACTTCATTCAGACTACATGTATAACACAACATGATCATACCACACTGTCAACAATCGTGCATGTGTCAACCTAATAAAAGTCAACAAAGTAAATTCCCACAATTCAGTTGATAGTCTGGCAGCCAATTGTATACAATCTGGATGTATATCCGATTGTAAGCCATCTCTGGAAGTCTTTGTAAAGACACCACTTCTGATCTTGTAAAAACCAAGGTGCTTTCTCCTACACAACTCAGCCTAGCACAAAGGGGGCATTAATAATAAAAATTTGAAGGGTGGTGTTCGTTGCGCCGCACTGTGTTCCGATATAGGACTCATAGCAGCATATACAATGCAGGTAAAATACATTGTTTACATAATATTCGAACACAAGCGATGTGACGAACATCATTCTTTAAGAGCACTAAAGACATTTAACATAAGCATTAAAATTTAATGATTAAATATGCAAAAATCTGGGTGTACCTCCGAAACTGGACTAAGGTCTCATGCCACTAATTAACCAATGGCTGCTCGTAGCCCTCAATTTAAATGCCTAGCAAGAACCAATGACATTTTTAAATATTTTTTTTCTCAGGTGCTCCCTGTTTGAGGGCGTTATCACCTGGGTCAGAGGTGAGACCAACATGTGGTCTTTTGTTTACTACTTAGCGGCTGTGTACCTGTGGGTTTATTCTGTGTGTATTTAGATGTTCTAATCTTGGTGTTTTTCCAGTGATTTCTCTTGGTGCAATCCAAGTACATTAGGTGTGTCTTGTTTATCTGAGATTTGCAAGAGTTTGAGCTGGCCAACATGTTAGTTTTTTTCATATGGTTGAATACTGGCATGTTGATTTCCCATTTTTGAGCCATATTTTCAACTTTCGTCATTTTTATATAGCAATCTCGTCATATGTTAACATTGTCGTCTATGGAAATTCAATTAGTGGCATGAGCCCACTAGTGGAGAGTGAATAATAAAGTTCATGACACCATCGGTCACAACAGGCAAAATATTTGTTTTAATCATGTGACCAATTATGATTGCCAATAAAACAAACTCATTTTTTTTAACCTAATTATTACAAGCTATAAGCTTTTTCACCATTCTAAGTAAATTGGTGGACAAACTGTTTAAACATGTATAAAAGTGATATTTAGTGAATATTGTGATGTGACTGTCCATGAATATCTATCTTTCTGGTGTTCCCTTTATAGAAATTACATTGTATGTACATTTACCTGGCTTTTGTGAATTGAAATAGCCCATGCCAACTGCAGCGGTAATTGACGTCTCATTAGAAATGCACCACCTCCTAACTTTATTGTCCATCTTTCTGGAGTAATTGTTTGTTCTACACCATTTAAAAACCTAATAATTGGAAGACCTATAGAAGAACATAAAATAGCAACTATTAAATGTATTATTGAGTGCAGATAAGTAAGCAAAAAATGTAACATGCAGCTTTGCGATGGTACTATAAATAAAGTCATAATCATAAATTATTCTTACCCTTTTCCGCATTGTTGAATCCAATCACTACTCCTCTAGCACCGTTTACCAGGCCTCGTTGAACTGCAAGATTTTTGGTAAGCATTACCTAACATGTGATTAGAATAAATATAATATAATAAATGTTTGAATAAATAAACTGGAATATAATTCCATCCACACCTTGAACTGTTCTCCCCAATGACAGTGGCCAATAAAATGACAAAAATGTTTCATGAGACAGCTCATTGGATATTTATATCCCACCCTGATATCTAAAGGGCTATCAATGGTCAATGCATGTATAAACTCAAAATTGGTACATCATCTCCAAAGATGCCAAAATACTTGGCGATGACTTTTTAACTGTTTGAAAAATGATAAATATTATGGTACCACTTAGACTATAACCAATAATTTCAACAGCGTGCGTTTTGATGTTTGAATTGCATATACGAACTTCGCCGATTAATTTCCCAGATTGTAACAGTTGCAAAATTCTCATAAAATGTATAAAAATCTACTGATAGAATTACTTCCAAAGTTAGTAAAAATGTAATCAATGTTTAGCATAGTACTATAGACTGTATTCAAGGAATACCCTTCCTCTATGCATTGCAACTCAAATATATTTATGTCAACAAATAGCTGCACAACCATATTGTGGATAGATGGGATGAACCGCACCTCCAATTCATGAGTGTGTGATCTCCGGAGAGAATACCCAACATTTTCACATATTTAGATTTGAATTATTCTGTGTAATGGTTAAACTATACCATTCGTCCAGTAACAAATGTTTTGTTAATGACGTATACAATGCCTGAAATTTTAGCATGCAGAGAATGCTGGGAAATATACATCATCTTGACGTAACGATGTAGAT